GGCTGGAGGGGACGTGCTTGGAGCTGGCGGGGCGGTGCTCGGAGCCAGACGGGCGGTGCCTGGAGCTGGGAGGGCTGTGGTAAAAGCTGGAGCTGGCAGGGCGGTGCTATCGCCAAATCCTCCTCCGCTTTTACCAGCGGCGGAGTCGTCGCCAACGTCTATGCCCAACACGTCCTCTTCCCCCAGACCATAAGTCTCTGCATGTCCGCGCAGTCCTGTCGCGCGCGAGGTGAAATCCAACGCACTGCAGCTGCTGCTGCTCCCAGTTTCATCTCTTGCGGTAGGAACGGCCGAGAGAGCAGAGCTCTGCGAAGTGTGAGCATGTGCAGCATCCATGTCACGGCTGGTGGTCTACACCAAAGTCCTAACCCGTTGGGGGTACAAGCCCGAGGGGTCTGCTTCTATTGTTCGTCTGCTGTGTTGTGCTGCTGGGGCGTCATGTGCTTGCTGGGTGCAGCAGATCAATTCAAAAACTGGTTCTGTGAAGGCTAGTTCCGGAGGCGTTTTGAGGGCAGGCCGGTCCCCTCCTGCCCTCGAGGGCAGATTTCCGGGCGCCGNCTGTGAAGGCTAGTTCCGGAGGCGTTTTGAGGGCAGGCCGGTCCCCTCCTGCCCTCGAGGGCAGATTTCCGGGCTGGGGCGAGCTTGGCACATTCCCAATCACCGCCCCCCCCCAGCTCATGTCCTGCGGCCTCCCCGGCCGGGGCCCCCTACGGCACATCACAGCTGACAGCTGTCACCCACATATGCATGCAACGTTGCTGCTCGGAGCACTCGCTGCCTTCTCTCTCTGCACCGCTGCTGTTGAGCCCTCGGTAGTCCGGCGTGTCGCGTTTGCCACCTCGTCACCGCCGGGCTCCCGTTCGACAAGGATGCCCCCAAAAACGAAGAAGCGATCATCGGTAGCAGCAGGGCTGGCGCCTTCTGCTGCTGACATGAAGGCTGGACACAGCCGCAGCTGCAGCTGCAGAGCAACAAATCAAGGACGGCGATTGAAAGCTGGAGGGGGGAGTGCTGGCGCCGAAGCTGGCAGATCAACCCTTGTGTCGTGTGGGGACGAGCTGGTGCGAATATCGCGCCGCCTTCATGACAATCTCAAAGGTACCATCAGTGCTGCTGTACAGAGGATGGTTGCATCTTGGTTGCTGTCACTGCCGGTACCAGCACTTTTAAACACTCTGGTTCGGCGATCTTAGTACTACAGTAAATCCCCAAACCCAAAACGGACTGGAAACCCACCCACGGTCGTTCTCGCGGGTCGGTGTTACTCCTGAGCCTATGGGCAAGGTAAAATAGTTTTGTCGATGAAGATTACGGAGTTCTGTTTTTCTAAGGTCAGAGGTCTCCACCCCCGCACCGCACACGCTTTTCCATTCTCGTGACCCCCAACACGGCGACCTACCTAACTGCATCGATGCTATCTGGCGGAGTTCCGTAATCGTTCAGCAACTTGTGCACCGTGTTGATGTGGTGCGTGCTGCGTGAGTTGTATATTACCAACTCTGTTGGATCTACTCATAGCATCGACGGATTATTGCAAGCAGGGATTTTCGAGCAGATGGAGCGGGAAGTTTGGGGGTTCAACAGCAGTTGCTACGGATTAGATTTGGTCGTACCAACTTTGCCACGTAGTGCAGGATTGAGGGTGTGGGTATCTACAACGACATTGGTGTTTGTGGTTGATGGCTTCTCACTCTTCTCTATTCTGTGTATGATCAAGTCCTATTATCCGGCTTCCACGCCACTCAGCTATTGTTGTTGTTGTTGTTGTTTCTCACATTAGCTCTATAGTCCACAAAAATGGGGAGCCCGTGGTCTCAAAACCCGGCACATACGACGCCGCGAGAAAACAAAAAAAAACAAAAATAGGGTACAAACCACTCGGAAAAAGAAAACAAAATGATAGAAAGAAAAGAACAGGTATTGCACCGACCGTTCGAGAAAAGAGCCCTCGGACACCGATCAAAATAAAACAAAACAAAAATAAAGAAAAATAAAGGAGGACGCTTCCCACACCCGCCGAAAGAAAAAATCAAAGGGTAACGTACCAGCACCAGGCACTGCGCACCAGGGCATGGGAGTAACGGAGCAAACAGGGCAAAGAGGCGGCAGATGGGCAGACAGCCAGACGTACAAAAACAAAGGCAACAGCAAAGCGAGATCAAGGTACCCAACACAGCAGAGTAGGCAGGGAGGTCATGAAAAAAAGA